AGTGATCTGGCAGCCCACCAAGACCGAGTGGAGCAGATTGCTGCCATTGCACAGGAACTGAAGTATGAAATCCCCACAGCACATGTTTGCACTGAAAAAATTATGTAAAAAAAAAAAAAAAAACTAACAAAAAACAATATCATTTAATACACAAAATTCAAATTATGCATACAAATGAGGAAGTAATTGCACAGTGTCATCCTACATACCCATTCATAATATTTATGGGTTATTGGCTATAAAACCTATGGTATTTTCAAATTTTATTCACCGCAACATGAAAAAAGGTATAGGGTATACAATTATAGGTTTTTCTTATCAGAAGCATTAACCAGTCAGGCAACAAAAAAACACTAAGAAAAACCATGACAACAATAGTGATGATAATAATAAAACAACTAGTCTTTTTGTTATGACCTAGAACTGAGGAAATTAAGTCAGAAATAAAGAACAAAAAGAGACAAATATAAAGAAACTTTGAAATAATAAAAATAATAACTTTAAATGCTTTATTACCCAGTATATATATATTTTTTGATGTATGAGGAATTAGTTTTTATTTTGATTAAGGTGCTACACACAGAAAAAACAATATGCAGTTGACATAAATACATTTTTATTAGAAAATAGCTGAATGGTGCAACAGCCAGCGCCATTCAACTATAGATATTAAAAATAAACAACAAATATACAGTAATTTTTTTTTTTTTAATTGTAGAATTTAAAACAGTGGCAAAAAAAAACACTGAAAAGGATACATAATACTAATTACTAAGATCAAATTAAAATGCAATAAATTAAACTGTAGATAACTCTAACATATGGATACAATGAAATTAGTCACAATAAAGCTAAGCTTAACACAGTTTAAAGGTAGGCCTATAGTGGAGCATTTTGGCAAACTTTTGAAAAGACATTCTGATTAAAAGTTGCTTATTGCATCACTCATACAAGCTTACTTTCCAAAAGAAGGTACCGGTAAGTAAAATGGGGACGAGCAAGTAGGATGGCCTTACGTAAACCTATCACCAGAATTACTGACAATTAGGAGGACCACTTATTTAGATGATCCACCCGGAAAAAGAACATCCTCCACTATATCTTTAAGTAAAATTAGGTCTATTAACATAACGTTTTTATTTTAATCAACAGTCCAAACTTCCCTCAGCAGAGGGCTGTTTAAAAAAAAAATCTGAATTTAAAATATCACTACGGTAGATTTTATATATCACTGCTTTTGTCAAAACCTCATCAAGGCTTAATTAAGCCAGGATATGGTGAAGATCCCAGTTTAATCCACTATCTTAGTTTTGTTAAAAATATCTCTGGTCGCTCTGTGGGGCTTGCAAAGTAAATGCATTTCAAAACCACCAAAAAACAACTCCACAGATAAACCGGTGCAGACTTTAAAAACAGTTTGATGTATGCTTGCTTTTTGCTTCTTGCCAGCATGCTATAAGAACTATGAAACAATGATTTCTTCATAAGCTCTTAAACCCTGAAGTAGTGATGGGTGCAGCAACACAGACGCATCATTGCATGCGTCAAGCTCATAGAGAACAATCTTGTGTCGGTGCCTTTATTGTGTCAAGAATGTCATGTGAAGATACAGGAGCTGTTTTACACTGACTAACGCACTAAACTGTTTATAAGTGTATCTATCAATGGGATATATTTGCAAAATCTGTGGAAAATCATTATTAAATTTATTAGAAAATATGGAGCAGCCTCAAGGCAGAAGAAATTTTTCAGCCATGTGGGACCGTTTTGATCTCATATTGTTTTAATTTTTCTTTTGTATTTCTGTTGCTCTCAAGTTATCACTTGAGTCATCTGAATTTAAATTAAATTCAAATTGACTATTAACTTAATGTATTTATTGGTTTAATAGAAAGAAAAAAATCCTCCTTCACAAACATCCTCATTCAGGTGTTTACCTAAATTTTCATGTTATGATATATGTTCCGATTATTTATTGACTGCATCCAAAAATATCAGAGATATTTTCAAAAGAAGATATGAAATAATACAATCAAAAATGGAATGACTTCAATTATATTATTGTACTAAGTCATTGAATCAGTGTCCGTTATTTTTGTCAGATAGGCTGCATGTAGGGATTTTAAAGGTCCAGCACACAGTATCAACTCAATATAAATTCCCTTTGGCAATGTGCTGAAACGCTTCACAACGTCTCATAAACCCATCAATACCCTGAAGTAAACAATTCTTACTGAAGATGTTAGAGTATAGTTTGTCATTGAATCTAGTCGAGCAAGCACCTTTCTCACAGCCCTTTGAGGATTTCAATCAGCAGCGAATGACAGACACCTGAGTGTTGTTGAGCTCTCAGTCTGAGGTTGGCTACTGAGTGTCTGTGCTGATTATTTAAGTGGTGTCCAGACAAAGGAAGGGAAAAGGTTCAACAGACAAGATAAATGGCCTCCTGGAAATTTCCAAGGTTTGTGGACAGTTTTGTAACCTGAATAATTTTTTTATTCTTTTTTAAAAAGCTGTGTTATTCTGAATCATTTTAAGGTTTTGACTTTGTATTTTACCTGTTCTAGCCAGTTGTTCCTGGTTGTTTTATTTAGCTGGAGTGTTGGGGCTCTCCCTACTCAATCTGGTGAGTTTCATTTAACTTCTAAATGTAGTATTTTTCTTTCTCAATCTTTTAACATGTCTTCTCTAAACAGGATGGAATGCAGAGGTGAACCCTGGATCCCAAAATACTAAGGCTGAAGGCTTGACTCAAACTGTCCAGGGTCCAGCTAAATCTTCTGTATCTTGGATAGTTGCTAGACCAAAAAGCAAAAACCCAGTTGTGCAACATTCTATTAAAGCACGCCCTTCACTCACACAGGCCAACTCTCCCCTGAACCCAGAAGGGCCTTCTGTTCTATGGGCAGCTAAAACTTCAGAAGGGCTTCCTCCTTCGGTTCCTGAAAATTCTAGGACGTCATGGGAAGTTGGTTCCCAGATTAAGCTCTTTCCCACTCCGAGCCCAGATGACCATGTTGGCTTCCCAGAAGCTTTTTCTCTCCCCCAAGACCCAGAAGACTTGGCAGCCTTACCAGTGGCTGGCACAGAACAAAGTCTTCCTCCACCACCTTCAAACCCAGATGGTCCTGCAGTCTCATGGTTGGTTGACCCTGATGTGGGACTCTATTTCCCTTCCAATCCAGAAATGCCTTCTCTGTCCTGGAGAGTTGGCCTTCGCAAAAAGTTTCCCCCTCCTCCTCCTGTTTCAGAAAAATCTGCAGACAAATGGTTGGCTGGCTTAATTAAAAATGTTCCAGAAATGGAGCAGGTGGATAAGCCGTCAAACTCTGAGGATGCTAATGCAAAATGGATGGTTCGGCCTCCAAAAAGAGAACTGCTTGAAAGTCCCCAAGGTCCTGCTGCTTCTTCTGTAGGAGTCAACATGGAAGAACAGAAGGTCGATCCATCCAGCTCTGTTGTTGATCCTTTCAGTGCTTCACCTATGGAAGGATTTTCATTCACCCCTGATCTTAACTTTTTACTTGAGTCTGAAGAACCTTTGACTGAACAGAAAGGCCTGGAGCTAGGTGTCACAAAGGGTGAAACTGAGCCTTTAGAAAAGGAGCCCCTACCCCTTGAATATCCAGAATCCTTTTATCTAGGTGGTGAGTTGAGTAACTTGGCCTCGATCTATGAAGATGGAAACTCTGAACAGGGAATCAAAGATTTTAGCCTTGTTCCAAGTTACCCCCTCAGTGCAGAAAGGGATTATTTGGGTGTTATGCCACTGCCATATGGCAGACCGGTTGTTCCGAACCTATTTTACTTATTCTTGACTGGGCAGCTTCCTCATGGGACAGTGTCTCATATCCAGACAGACTACGAGGTTGGTGGAGACCATGCAACTCATGTTGGCTACGAGAGCTTCCCCTCGACTGAGGGCACTGGTACCGACCACCAAATGAAGGCTTCCACCTAGCAGTTGCAGGAAAGCTGAATCAACAAAGTCCTGAACTGTCTCAAACAATTAAGGCTGAAGGCAGTCATGGAAATTCCTGAACTTTCTTTTTTCTAGTCTTGGCTTGATCCTGTCTAAAACTCTCAATAAAGAAACTAAATAAATTTGGTCTTTGTGGTGTTTTTTTTTTTCTTTTTTTTTTTATTCCCCCCTAGTTTATGGAACTAAAATGGTTTGACGGTGAACTTGAAGTGCAACTGCTTTTTTTTTTTTTTTTTTAAGGCCATAAACCTTTAACTTGAGTTTTTATTTTTCCTAAACCCATAGTGAGCTGGATTACCATGACATTGCCTCTGTAAACCAGCGTTGCCAGGGCATCTGTGACTTGTGGGATAAATTGGGAACCTTGACTCAGAAGAGGAGGGAGGCACTAGAGGTGAGAATACAATCTCTCTAAACCTTTCTGTTTGTGGCTACAAAGCAGACAACCACTTTGTCACCACCAGAGGGTGCTGATGTTTTAAAGATGGATTTGTAAATAGAAACTAATGTTAATATGGTTTAAAAGTAAAAAGCTTTACTTTGGTACTCGGGTCTAAATCTCATTGTCTACTTAATAGCTGTCAGAGTCCCTCTAGCCACTTCCTCTTATGACATGCTTTGAAACTTTGTCCCTTTTAAACCAAAAATTGTTTTCAACAGTATCCTGGTATTAGGTTTTTTTGATGGACCAACAGAGCGTATTTGTGGAAAATTATACAATTCTTTGACCAGTTGCCATGTATTTGGATGTAGTCCTCAGTTGCGCTTTGTACAACCAGTTTCCTGTAAAATTGCTTAAGCCAGAGCAAGCTTTAAAAATATAGAATCTCTTAGGGAATTGGGATTCTGGCTGCATTGTTTCAATATATACCGGTATATGAATACTAATTAAAAATTTTGTAGCTGTAAGTTTTTGCGTTATACTCATTGAAATGGAACTGCTGCCTGGGAGTTAAGTCGTAACCAATGTAACATTTTTGTTGTGGATCTGAATTTAATTCCATAGATCTGTTTCTAGTAGCTTATTCTGTTCAAGTAATCACCACGGCATGATTCCGCCATGGATTGTGTATTAGGGTATGTCTAGTTTCAACCATATATAGTTTTGCATTTTGGCCAAAAAGCTATTTCTCTCGTATCTTAGCACCTAGATCAGTACATTAGTTGTTTTGCTGAATGGCTTCTATCATATTTCAGTCTGACCTTTTTTTTTTTTTTTTTTAACTAAAAGCTGCTCCCATTTGTTCACTAATGATCCCTAACCTTCAGACAACCTTTAATTATACCACAGTTGGATTAAAGACTGATGCACTATAAAAATACTCTGAAAATGAGTAAAAATTTCTTAAAATAAGTATATTAACCCTTAATTTGAGTTGGAAAATATCTGCCAATGAAATGCACTTGAAATAAGAGAACGCAGTTTTTTCTTTTTATTTTAAAATGTATTTATACTTATTTCAAGAAAGATTTACTTACTCAGATTTGCATTATTTTGCAGTCTGTACTCAAGTTCCTGAATAGGTTACTTCTGACATTCATTAGTGGTTGTACAAAACGTTTTCATCTGTTACAAAATGCTAAAAACATATAATCATTCTGTTCAACTTCATAATCATACAGAACCTTATAGCATTCCCTAAACATACATTGTGCTTATTGTTTTAATGTGATTAAAGTATAAAGAAGGGTTTTATGTATTTTTTGCAAGACACTGTAAGAGAACTTGGATAGCTTCTCTTATGCCAAGTCTTTTTTTTTTTTTTTTTTTTACATTATGAATGTGTATGTAAAGTAGACAAACACCTATACTTTGTCTTGTATTTCTCTCAGCGCACAGAGAAGTTGTTGGAAACTATTGACCAGTTGTTCCTTGAGTTTGCCAAAAGGTCAGCTCCTTTTAACAACTGGATGGAAGGAGCTATGGAGGATCTGCAGGACATGTTCATAGTTCACACTATTGAGGAGGTCCAGGTACAGCCCCCTTCCACCCCATTGTGAGAACCACGTTTTACCTTCACTGATAAAGTCCGATCCTGCCTAACATCAATATATCTTTTCCAGAGTCTAATTGCTGCTCATGAGCAGTTCAAAGCAACTCTGCCTGAGGCAGACACAGAGAGACAGGCCATTTTAGGAATCCACAATGAGGTGCAAAAGATTTCCCAAAGCTATGGGATTAAGGCAAACCTCATCAACCCTTACAGCACCATTTCAACAGAGGAGCTTCTTAACAAGTGGGAGAAGGTGATTTTGGTTATAAAACCTATGCATAAATGCGTTATCTTTAAATATAGGCATTCAGCTGGTGGTTATTCCCCCATTTTAAAATGACAAAAAAAAAATAGGAGAGCTGCATAAGCATTAGTTTTTTTTTGATGCATGGAATAGTTCTATTAATTTTTGTTCATAGTTAGGATATATTCTGTATAGTCACATACATATTTATATTAAATAATTTTCTGGAGGAGAGGTTGATTCATTTTTTTTACAAATATGTGTGTTTCATAGGTAAAGAAGCTGGTTCCTCAGAGAGATGGTGCTCTCCAGGAGGAGATGGCACGCCAGCATGCCCATGAAAGACTGAGACGCCAGTTTGCTGCTCAGGCCAATCTGATTGGACCATGGATTCAAACCAGGATGGAGGTTACAAAAGCTTTGAAATAAATTTTTTTGAATAAGGCTATGTGCAACAAATATAAAGTTAGTCTAGGTTTTTAAAGTTGATAATAGAAAAATCTTAACTACATTTTTATAATATGAGACCTAGAAAAATTCTCTAAAAATGTTCACAAAACTCAGGCAGGTTAATTGCCACCGATGGTTTCTACGGTCAAGCCCTATGAAATGCTAAAATTAATCGACCTCGTTGCACCCTGTGTTTCTTATGTACAGGAAATTGGGCGTTGCTCCCTGGAGATTGGAGGCACGCTGGAGGACCAGATGACCCAGCTAAAGCAAATGGAGCATGTGATCATTGCATACAAGCCAAACATTGACAAGTTGGAAGGAGACCACCAACTTATCCAAGAGTCACTCATTTTTGACAACAAACACACCAATTACACCATGGAGGTATGGCAAAAATGAATCATAAAACATAAGCACATTTATAGAATGTCTGAATATATTTAAATGTATTTATTAGAACATTTATAGACTTTTTCTATTTCTTTGCAAAAGTGATTACAGATTATTCTTGTTATATTTTGTTACACTTTAACTAGAAAATAAACGTTAATTTTATTAGGATGTTTTAGGGGTCGGCCAACTCAATGTTCACTCCAATTTATTTATAAAGTGCCAATTCACAACACATGTCATCCTAAGGCACTTTATAGAGACAATTCAACCAGATTATACAGTCAGATTCTAAGGTAAAAAGGCTTCTATAAAAGTGGTGCTTATAATTGTAAATACGGAGGAAAAGTTAGTTTTGAGTTTCAAAAACACGAAATTTTCAAATGACTTTGAAAACATTTTTAAAAAGTTATTTCTAAATTTAAAATGACAAAAAGATGCTTTCAACAATATTATTTACAGATAATCTTATAAGAATATAATTTCAATCTTAATAAACTATAGAACTTCAATCTGCAAGTTTGCTGCCAGTATTTTAGGATATGCCTCCGAACACCTTTGCAGGTCTCATGTATATACTCTACCTGTGGCCCTGAACCCTGGTGACAGGAAGCACACGAGTAAGGATGGAAAGATTTGAGTCAGCAACCACGTTTATTTGGAAAAACATGTTAAAAGGCAGTACTGCTGGCCATATTAGTCATGAAATCTCAGTTATATTTTAAGTGGTTGTAACATGAAAAAAACAATTTTATGGTTGTAAACAGTTTTCTTTTTTTTTTAGGAACACACATCTGTTGAGTTTCTCCAGACATACCCTCCTCCTGCTAACATATCTACTATCACTTTCACAGCACATCCGAGTGGGATGGGAGCTGCTCCTCACCACCATCGCTCGAACCATTAATGAGATTGAGACCCAGATCCTGACACGGGATGCCAAGGGCATCAGCCAGCAGCAGATGAATGAGTTCAGATCTTCTTTCAATCACTTTGACAGGGTACATCCTTTTACTATTTACACTTCAGGGGCCATATTGTGTCTCTCTGAGTTGTTAATGAAAAGCTGTGGCAACAATACATGGAAGGTAAAAGGTTACTCCAGCATCCAAAAGAAGCCCTGTCCCTGAGGGCAACACCTCCAAAGACTTTTCTTTTGTGTTGTTTCCTAAAATCTCAACCAGCTCTTTGATCAATGTTCTGCAACATATTGTACAAATCATTTCTGATGTAGGTTATTGAACATTTTTCAACATTTCTTACACTTTCAGATAATCAATTTCAAAACACTAGCTGCTACTGGTTGGTGCATTAGAGTCCGATTCACTGAGATTACAACTGTTGATGCTGGAATATTTTTTTTTTTAACCCAGTCCCTGCTTCACTTTGTGGTCACAGACTAAAGAAACATTTCAAAAAGCTAAAATCAAAAAAAAAAAAAAAAGGGCGCTATTCAAATAACAATCTGCCTGATTATTCCACCTCTTTGTGATAATATATGTTGCACACTATATTTATATGAAACATGTCCAATGTTACGAATATTTTTTGTTATACCGCAGACCCTTTATGATACAATGAACCCACTATGATCTTATAATAGGTACAAGGTAGATTAAGAGTGTGATTAGGTATTAAGGATTATTTCTGGTGTCTCTAGACTTTACATTTCACCACTAATGATGACAAACAAAAATAATCCGTTTAAGATGTGTGAGAAATGTTGGTTATGCCCATAGAGTTGAGCTTATTGCTAAAATGTTTGATTTGGGTAAATGTTTTGGACTTTATTTCACCTCACTCCTCTACTCTTCTTGCATTTGACTGGTCGTTCTATAGAAGAAGAATGGAGCAATGGAAACGGATGACTTCAGAGCCTGTCTCATCTCAATGGGTTATGACTTGGTATGGTGCCTCTTTTATCAGCTGTCTCTCCTCACGCCTACTGCATATGAATCCTTGTATGCTTACCAAGAAATCATGCCTGCTTTAGGGAGAGGTGGAGTTCGCTCGCATAATGATGCTGGTGGATCCAAATGCAACTGGGATTGTCTCCTTCCAGTCTTTCATTGACTTCATGACCAGAGAGACGGCTGATACAGACACTGCCGAGCAGGTTGTGGCATCCTTCCGGATCTTGGCAGCTGATAAGGTGTGTGGGTTGGAGCTGCTGTGTTTTCCTGGTGCAGGGAAACATATCTGAAACTTTTCTGTTCCAGACATTGTTACTATGCATTTTCTTTGCCTAATATCTAATGTTGCATCTATGAACTTAGTTTGGAAAAGGTAGAAGTAAAAACAGAGCGACAGTCTAATTTATTTTCAAATTAAAAGTAGTTAGAAGTAAAATATTTTTTTTATTTGCATAATATGACACTAAACAACACAGAAAAAGGCTAATCTTACAGTTAATTATATTTATTTTCATTAGGAGAAAATTTCCAAGTTAAATAATTATTGTTTTTAATTTAATCACAGTTAGCTTAATTATTTGTGGCTCTAACAGCATCTTTAAAATAAATGCAACCAATATTTTCTATTCATATTTTACTAGTTTCTAGAAACCTCCAATAATCATTGTGTTTGCCTTAGGTGAATAATGGGATGAGATTTCTATGTTAATTAGTTTTATTTTAGACAAGAAACATTATCGTTTTCTGTCATTAAGCAAAATGGCATTGGGGTAAAAGGAAATCTCTAAAGCCAATTGTTGGAGAACTGCAGCAAAGACTGGCATCTGGGGATCAGTAAGTGTTTATGGAGCAGATAGATCCAAAGACATGAAAACTGGTCGCTTTTACTCTGATGCCAGAAGGAAGATTTTACTCTCTTACTGTTACAAATGTTATTCTGTGAAATTTGCAGAAAACGTCTGTTTTGTTTGTTTTTTGTGCTGGGCATAGCTTAATTTTGTAAATCTAGATTAAAATCACTTATTTGAATTCTGCCAAAGAAATTCATGATGTATTTGTGCTACCTAAATAATAAGTAAAAGTAAGTCAGTGCATTTTCCTTGAAGCAAACCAGGCGTCTTTATAGCTGCATCCATGATTGACATGTTCTTGGACGCAGGTGGAGTTTCAGGGTCAGACATCATTAGTGATCACACAGATCACTTAACTTTTGAAAACGTCCATTAACAAACATCCTTCAATACTTTTCCAAAATCAACTACTTTGCTTTCTGTAGTGATCGATTTGTTTCTCTGAAGCACAGCAGAGCTTTCATTGATAAACTCAATCAGCTTATTTTACTCATGGTCTGTTGGCTGCTTTCTTTTTTCGTCTGTGGGTGATCGGCTGGATACCCCAACTTTACGCTTTTCTTTAAGTCATCAGTTTTGTTCTTCTACTTGTTACAGCTACTCTTGCAAGTTCCCAAAAAAAAAAAATATATTCCAGAGTAGTGCTTTTCATTCAAAAATGAAAAGCACTCGCTGAGAGTTTTCTGGTTTCAGAAGGTGTCTTCTATACTTATAAAAATAACAGAAATAATATACAAGTTGACTTACAACCATTAATTGGTGGTAGAAAAATTGTTTCAGTCCTTCCCCAAACAATCAGATCAACCACAACAGGAGGCAGCCTGAATAGGAGGAGGGTCAAATAAGATAAATAAACAAATAAATAACAATAGATCTAACATTCAGATAACCTTAGATCTGTAACATTAATAATTTAGCAAAAATAAATGAATCTGATTCTTAGGAGCCTCCAGTGCATCACTTTCGATGTGGTAATTTCAATGTACATCTATACAGGTTGGAAGACTGATTCATTCTCACCCTCACATATAAATCCGCGGTAAAATAGCAAGATAAAAGTCATAATTAGTATGGACCCAGCTCCCAACCCAACTGTGAGAATTGTTTTTATCCCCCGATAAGAGTCTGCCGTTAACGCAGCCATTTATGCCGATAACAGCACACCACTAGTTTTTTTTTCTTCAGCATCAAGCATCGAATTATGCTTTGGATGACAGTATTGTATTTGGAGAACCATTGTGTTGCCACTGTTGAGTAAGGTGATGCTGAGGGCCTATTTTTCATCTTGAGATTCTGGGAACCTTTTTATCCCTCATTGGGTTTTCCATCAGGACAAAAAAAAAACGATACATATGGCCAGATCTTCATAGAAAAAGTTCAGCTGGTACAAAATCAATTCATTTTTTTTTTTCTTTTTTTTTTCTTTAGTTGCAAGACCAAAATCCTCTCATAATTCTGTAGGTTGAGCTAAAAATAAAACTCTAAAAGAGAAAACCTTGGATTTAGTATGGTCAAGAGAAGTGCTTCCCAGACCCCTTAATCAGGATTTTGTGAGCCCTGCACCACACACACCTATGTGTTGGTTATTTTTTCAGAAAAGCAAAAAAAAAGGTTAGGGTTGTTTTTTTTTTCTCACTTCATAGTTCTTTTCAGTCAGCAGCTTTCAAAAATATCTAATTTCCATCCGTGTGGTCTGTTTGCAGACAGTCAGTTTTAATAATAATAATTTAAAAAAAAAGTTAAGCCAACTTTTAATACTGATGTTGAGAGTCGACTGTCTTACTGGTATTAAATCCCAGGCTCTCCAAGGTGATTTTATTGAAAGAAAAAAAGAATACTAGTCTTTAAGATGATCCTACAAATCCCAACTGCCACTGAACAAATATGCTCAAATGAAAGCTGGAATGTTTAAAAAGTTTTAATTGTGCAAGATTTTCCCTTGACAAGCTATTTAACATGAGGGCTGAGGACTACTGTGGCAGAGTGTCTCTTCTTAATTAACATTCCTTTTGCTTTCTGCTCAAACAGCCCTACATCCTCGTGGATGAACTCAGGAGAGAACTTCCTCCCGAACAGGCGGAGTATTGCATCATGAGGATGCCGCCTTACAAAGGGCCCGGAGCTCCACCTGGAGCGCTAGACTACACCGCCTTCTCCACCGCCCTTTATGGAGAAAGTGACCTTTAACTTGAGAAGACGACCTTTCATTGGGTCATTTTCCCTCACTCTTCCCACTCTGTATCATTTAACAAAATGAACCACATGTTTAGTTAGATAAAAGCTTTGTCAAGACTTGGATGCACCACTCACCTGTGCTTTTTTTTTTTTTCTAAGAAAAAAAAAGAAATATCAAAATACCTTTTTTTTCCCTTTTTTTTTTAAAGAAAAGTACAACAAATTGAGGAGAAAAAATAATTCAGTACTGTTTTAGAGTAAAATTTTCATCTGGAAAATCAATAAAATCTTTCATAATGATGTCCGTATGAGGAACTCTAAGATTTGGATAGACATAGTTTCATCTGATACTTTAAAACAACCCTTTCTATTTTAAAAAGATAATATGACAACATGCAGATACTGTACCCATCACAAGCCCAGACCTCAAACAAAACATGTTGTTTCCTTTGAAAGGTTAGTCTCAAAAATGACCAGACACTATTGAAAAAGACTCAAATTATAAAATCAGAAAAGGCTAATTAAGCATAAACTGGCAGTTGCTTTTACACCATTTGTAAATATCAATTCAATTAATTACTTGTTATTCCACATCAAATGAAGCCCAAAACTTTGGAATTTGTGTCTTTAAAATTCAGGGATTCTGAAGTTGACTTGTGAGGATTTCAAAGAAGATTCACCTAAATTAGAAGGTAAGGCAAAACTCATAACCAATATAGTGTTTACCAGGAAATCAGTGCTATAATTTGTCCTATTTCTGTTTCCAATTGTTTTCATGTATCATCACAGTGGCTCTGTTTTGACAATTTTCTTTGATGATACACGATTTTAAACTGTCTACAATGAATTATAGTTTGGAAAAAGCAATTTCAGACCCACTGATATCCATCAATAAACAAAAGGTTCCCAAATGGCTAGAAATATGCATCACCAAACGGAGTGGAAAATGGAAAACCGCATGAATGGGAAAGTAAATATTTACAAAGGCTTGGTGCTTTACAGAAAACACAGAAGATTAAATATGCAGTATTCATTTTTGGGTGTACTGTTGGATAAAACATTATTTGGCAGCAGCAGACTAATTTGTTCACACAGAAATGCAAAATAGCTGCTTAGAAAAGCACTTAGTTTTGCAATAAAATTACAAGTTTTTTTTTTATTTCTACATTAGCTTATAAACATTTGTGGAAATCACCAAAACAGTAATAGTATCTCTACCTCTATGTAGATTTCTGTTCATGATCAAACCTGCTGAATAAAAATAACTGCCTGTGCAGCATTAGAAAGGCTACCTTTGCTTTGCATGCATTTAAAATTGGTTTCCATAAATAAAGTAAACTATTTTACCAGTTGACTATGAGTATGGCCTTATAATACCATATGAGATCATTGATTGAAGTTTTTTATTTTACTATTTTTAATGTCTTTTATTGGCTTTAACATTTTTATAATGTTCCATAAGTTGTTTTTTTTTGTCAAAAACGTATACAAGTCAAGGTACATGTTGGGACTCGTAGATTCCCCTGAAATGAAAATATTTTACCCTGTTATCATAAACCATTTGTACATCATATTAATGAATAACTTCAATAAAGCATTGTTGCCAAATGAAACTTTTATTTGAGCCTGGGGGATTATTGCTTAATGTTTTTATAATGTAATTTGTGAGTATACTGATAAAGAAAAATGTGAATTATCTTGACAAAAGCTCCAGCGTCAAATTTGAATCAACATGTTTTACAGCTGAAGGTTATTTTTCACAGAGATGAATAGGTTTGTACTCACTTATATATGGGTGGTAAACATCTCTCAAGCTATTGAATGTCTATTTGAAATGCCAAGGTTTGCCTTGTATCTTATAAATTTCAATCTTTTTAGAGTTAAAAAAAATCAGGCCTTTATTGATAGATATACATTCTCAGGAAATCAGTTGAGCATGTTGGGCTTTAAGTCCCCGAAGAGCATTTTCCTTCTGATGTACCCAGAAAGCACAATTAAAGAACTCTACAAGGACTCTGCGGGACTCTTCTCCTAGTGGTTAGAGCAGTGCGCTTCTGCTCTGAGAAGGCTGCAAGTAACCGGTTTGATCCTCACAGCCTGCTCTCTGAGCAAGACCCTTAACCCCACACTGCTGCTTGGGTGCTGCACAGTGGCAGCCGAACCCTCCCCAAGGGGATGGGTTAAATGCAGAGAGCTAATTTCTCCATTGTGTGATCAATAAAGTTCTATTAGAACAGACACATCTGTAGTGTGATTACTGGTGTGGAAGGAAATACACTGATAAATCATAATCCCCCTTCTGTTGCACTGAACTTGCTGCTTGAATGCAAAAATATGGTTCTCTTTTAATGAGGTCTGCAGAGAGCCATGTACCTTTAGGAGTTTAAGAGTTTTTGGCTAATTTCATTAAATGGAGCCTAGGTGGAAGTTCAACTGAGGAAAGGATTACTATTCGTCTCCGTCACTGGCTAATCAGCATCCATAGTACATCTTAAAAGGACTCCAATCCACATCTCAGTTGGCTGCCCAAAGCGCAGGCAGTGATCGCGCTGTCGGACTTGTACTCAGATGAACCCAATTCAACCCACCTCTATCCCTTCCTCCACCATCGTAGCTAAAGGTTCATCAGTGTGTCATTCCTCCCAGACTCTTGCTGTCTCATCTCAACAAGTCTCACAGAAGACCGCCATGTTGAGCCTGGTTCTGCCGGAGGAGTTTTTCCTCTCCACTGTCGCTTCATGCTTGCTCGTCATGGACAGGTTTAGGCAACCCGTGTTATCCAAGCTGGACTTCCATCTTCCAGGTCCTAGAGTGATGCACTAATATCCACTCACGCAGCCCACCAGATCTCTTCATATAGCTCAAACACACCGTTCGCCAGCCAGCAGTCATGGACTGACCAACTTCATCCTCTTGACTCCACCACCAGTTTCAGACCCAAGGGAAACATCCCTATTATTTACTCCTGTTTATGCATATTAAAGCAAATTCTGTGGCAATGTTTCCTGCCGAGGTCTGAGCACCAAAGACTTAAATAATTGTATCAATAAAACTCTTCTAATTGTCTTTGTTTTTTTGGAAAACAGTGTGAGCTTCTGAAGTTATGGCAGTAAATTAAGAGTTGACCTATTTATTCAGTTTGCAAACCTGACTGTGTAATTAATCACTCTATGCTCTCCAGTGACCATAATTAAACACAAATATAAAAAACAAAAACAAAAAAAAAAAACACAAATATTCAGATATTTAAAAGAGATGATGTGACAAAGACATCCTGAGTGCAGGATGGAGAAAATGTGAATATATGGCTGTTGAGTTAGAGTCTGAGCAGTGATTAAAAATCTTTTAAAATTATGTCTTTCACTACTTTTGAATATCTCCAAAAGAAAGCACTTTTTTTTTTGTATTTGTATTTATATTTTGCTTACTTTGTTAGAACAATTTAATCAAGTTCATGGTGACAGAATGGGATTGTGATAAAACTGATATATGGATTTTAATTCCAAAAAACACTGGGAAAGTGTGAATAAATACTGAAAAGTTCTTTTAGCCCATTTACCTTCCTGATGTTGCATCTGACTGTTACTTGCCCTCTACATCTTAAAAATATTTCTTTTGTTTGCTCCATTTTGTTGCACACATGTTCATAACCTCGAAACTGATTTAAATAAGGGAAAGTTATCGTTCATGGCATTTTGTAAGTACATCTTAAACAGAGCCAAATAATCTAGTACAAACGTTCCGTTAGAATTCAATCAAAAATCAAGTTGTCTGTCCTCATTTGTGTGGAAGCAACAGCTCTGGCTGAAAAAGGCCTCATGAGATAAGTTGTTAAGAATGACACCGCCCACAGATTAAAGGCCATGCTACTGTGTGTCTCTGCTCCAAACTTTCTGGGTCCCCTCAGTGTGGATGCTCCCGCTGAGTCCTGTCAGATGTCACCTGTTTTAGTTAAATAATGACCACCAGTGGAGAGGGAGACGATGAGGTTCAGTTTTTGCGAACGGTAAGTCACAAACCCTATTTGACTTAGTGGATGCTAACTGCTACTGAATAAACTTAATACTAAAGACTTAGGGAATTAATATTGTATGTGTTTCCTAACAATCCTCAAAGTAACATACAGAGTTTATTGAATTGTAAAATATAGCTTTTAAGTTAGGCTATCAGTTGAAAATCTTTTTCATTTTTACATGAAGGCAATGTTTTTTTTAGTTGCACGAATTATATATCCAAAAGGTTTTTAAATATTATAAATACCTCCTTCCTTACACATCCAGACGATTCCTCCAACTTTATTTTAAATTAAAGGGGATAAAATGAAACAAAACAAAAAGCTTTTTCTCCTGTTTCTCATTCTCATTACAAGATGTTATCATTGTGGTCTGCATGATGGTTGTCCACTTACACTTTGTAATCTTTACCTTCTGATAACAGCATGTCATGGTGGATGTGAGACGAAAGAACATGCAGATAAAATTAAGTAACTCTTAAAATCATTCATAAAATCTTTTACATTAATTAGCTAGTTACGGAAATCGAAAACACAACAGTCTATAAAAAATAATTGCTTGACTAAACTAGCAGTCGATAAGGGGAGGTAGTTTAAATCTTCGACTGTAAAGGAGGGAACCTGCTTGCGTCACAAAGGGAATCTGGTGTAGGAACTTGGCTAAGTCTGTAAGTCTTAATAACTTGCTCTGCTGACCCTTGAATACAACTGATAGGACACATAAAATTGCTTTACAAAGATAAGTACTGAAATAATATTTTTTTTTTTTCTGTTTCACAAAATTCTTTTCAAATATAGTTCTATCAAACTTAGGTTGATTTCATTACAATATTATGATATTCCCTGACATTTAACCTTTTCATCAAGACCTACATCATATTAAATGATTACCTCCTGGATGTACCGCTGAGCTAAAGTTTTAAAGCTTTAAGAATGGCCCTGGCTGCCTCGGCTTGGGTTGTGTGTTCCACTGATCACATGCTTCTGCTGATATGAAGAGTGGAAAGACAGTTGAATCAGGGGTCAGATAGAGCAGCACGTTCCTGATATGGTTGCCTAAATTATAAGTACAGAGGTGTTGGTATTCCTGGCCATCTGGAGTCCTTTTCTTGCACTTCTTTAAATAGACTGTATTGTCTAATGGGTTGACATGGTGCATGTGGCATTTAAATTGAGATAAGATAATAAAGGATAGTGGTTGAGATCTACCATAAATGCTCTTTGAGTTTTTAACCATTATTATTATAGTTTTCTTTTCCTTTATCATACAATTAAAGTCATCACAAAAAAAAAAAAAAATGTCTTTACAGGCTTTTATCATTGGTCGAAATAGAAAATTTAAGTAAGAGTGCTTGGTGCTGTTACCGTTGTGTATATTTCGATTCTATTTTCTTTCTTTTCTTTTCTCAGGGAGATGAGGTGGTTTTGCAGAGCACATTTACCTCCCATGACGGAAATTTGAAACTCTGTCTTGCTGCTGAAGGATTTGGCAGTAGGCTTTGCCGGCTTGAGCCCACTTCAAACTGCAAGGTATAAAGCTCCTCTGAGGTGATTTTGTTGCTCCTCTGTGATGCCATTTTTCAACCATTATGACATCAGGGGACGTGACTGAAATAATTCAACAAATTGGATAAAAATAATCCACAATGAAAAACTGAAGTAATGCTGTAGGTAAAATGATTAAAAAATGACTTACAATGTGGAAGTGATATTTAAAAAAGACATATAATCAAATGATTTTGATCAAAGCATATTATCCTTTTAATAGAGTCTATAATTAAATCCAATTAAGGATCTGACTTATTATTTGCTTCTCTCTGCTATTTAGAAATATATGTATATCTGTAGAAATCACAGTTTTGTGGGTGTTGAGAGCTGGTTAAGGGAAACATCTAAAAGTTGAAACTGCAGTAAAACACTTTTAAAAAAAAATAATTTACTCATGCGCGTTACTATTTATATATTCTTATTTATGGGATTTCTAGAAACAATGTAGGATTTTTTTCTTCACAATTACAAAACACTTGGTTTTGTTCTGTCACATAAAATCTAATTAAGATGCAATGAACATAAAGTTTCTGGGTGCACCATGGCATCCTAATAAAAGGAGAAGGAACACATTTGCAAGGCATAATCATTTGTAACAAGATGTAATATATATTTTATTTTTATCTATCTATCTATCTATCTATCTATCTATCTATCTATCTATCTATCTATCTATCTATCTATCTATCTATCTATCTATCTATCTA